TTGTCTCTGTTAATGCTGCAGCCCCTCAGTAGCTGTTAAACCAAAGGAGACAGCACACAAGAACTGCCTACTTTGTATCATCAACCCTAAACCCTAAACCCTAAACCCTAAACCCTAAACCCTAAACCCTGACAGACAGTGAGGCTCCGTCGGCCCTGGGGAGGCGCAGGGTCTTGTTAATATATTTATAAGAGCCCCATCCTTAAGAATAAATAAATAAATAAATAATATATTTATATATTTATATATTTGGTGTTGTGCATTATAAACCCTAAACCCTAAACCCTAAACCCTCAGTGCATGCAGCAGCAGCAACTGCTGCGGCTGTCTGTAAGCAGAGGCGCAGCAGATTTTCTTTATTCTTTCTGTGCATTGTTTGCTGCATTTTTAGACAGCAGCACTTTTGCTGCAGCAATCTCTTTCTTATTGCTTTTCTGCTTCAGCCCCTACACTACAGCAGCAGCAGCAGCAGCAGCAGCAGCAGCAGCGGCGGCGGCAGCAACAACAGCAGCAGCAGGAAGAGCAGAAGCGGGAGCAGCAGAAGTGAAAGGATGGTTCCAAGTGTGCAGCAGCAGCAGCAGCTGCTGCAACAGATCCGGCAGCAGCTGCAGCAAGGTACTGCAGATGTTGAGAGCTGCAGCAAGCAGCTGCTGCAGCTTAAGCTGATGCGTGTTGCTGCTGTTGCTTCAGCATCAGAGACCCTAACACCAGCACAAGTAGAGGAGGCTGTGCTGGCTCGCAGCACATTCGAGACAGCAGCAATGCTGTGCGTCTACAAGCTGCAGCAGCTGCAGCAGAAGCAGCAGCAGCAGCACGGCGACGACGATATGTATGAAGACCTCATGTCAGAGACAGCAGCAGCATTTCAGAGACACATGAATATGCTGCTGCCCTTCTACTGCGATTTAATGCATGTACGTACATGACCTGATGCTGCTGCTGCTCGTGCTGCAGTGCAGCAGCAGCAGCAGCAGCAGCAGCAGCGCATGCATCATTAGGTGTTTCTGTAGTCTTGTCTATTGTTATTTTTTAGCTGCCATTGAAAGCAAACCTCCTGAATCAGCATTTGCTTTTATCTACTGCTCTTCCTGCTGCTGCTGCTGCTGCTGCTGCTGCTGCAGGTGCTGCCTCCTTCAGACATGCAGCTGGAGCTGCAGTGTCTGCAGCTGCTGCACTTCTTATCGAATGACTGCATTGCTGAGCTACACGTCGCCTACGACAGACTCTCAGAGGAGGTGATACACCCCACACTGCATGCATGCATGTATGCATGCATGGGGTGTATATGCAGCTGCTAAGGCAGCAGCAGCAGATACACCAGAGGGAGAAGGCGGTGCAGCTGCAGCGGCTACAAGAGCAGCAAACCCTAAACCCTAAACCCTAATAGTTTGTGTGTCATCTGTAAATAAATAATACCTAAACCTGAATTGTTTGTATCTGCTCTTCGTCTTAAACCCCAAACCCTAAACCCTAAACCCTAAACCCTAATTGTTTGTGTGTGCAGCTTCAAAGCAGCCCTTATGTGCGTACGGTGATGCGGCTGGAGCAGCGGCTGATGTCTGGCGACTACGAGGCGGTGATGCAGCAGCAGCAGCAGCAGCAGCAGGAAGATGTGTGCTTGCCTCGTTCTGCTGCAGTGTTTCTGTGGCAGCTAACAAAGACTGTGCGGCTGCGTGTTGCTGCTACACTTGAAATAGCATATACTTCTCTGTCTCTTTCTCGGTTAAGTTCAGCGTTGCGTCTGCCTGTCTCTTCTTTATCTTCTTTTTGTGAAGAGCATAACAGACGAAGGAGACAGAGAGAAGCTCAGCATGCCCTGCAGCAGCCTTCAATAGAGTTTGCTGCTGCTGCTGCTGCTGCTATGGGAGATACCCTGGCAGGCGCCCCCAAGTCCCTGCAGCAGCAGCAGCAACAGCAGCAGCAGCAGCAGCAATCCGTCAGCACCTTGGCAGCAGGTGTGGGATCGGGATCGTTTGCTTCTGCGGTGTCTCTTGAAAGAAATGCCCCCTGTGGGGTTTTGTGGGTGATAGAAGGAGACAGAGTTTTCTTCAAGAAGCAGCAGCAGCAACAGCAGCACTGCTCCTTCCATGCTACACAAGTTGCTACGCATCTCATTGGTCAGCTGCTGCTGCAGTTGCTGCTGCTGTTGCTGCTGCTGTTGCTGCTGTTGCTGCTGCTGTTGCTGCTGTTGCTGCTGCTGCTGTTGCTGCTGTTGCTGCTGCTGCTGTTGCTGCTGCTGTTGCTGCTGATGATGATGTTGGTGTTGAGGCTTGTGCTGCTGCTGCCGTTGCTGCGGCTGGTGTGCAGCACCGTCGCTTATTAGGGCTGCTGCTTCCTGCAGCAAGAGCAGCTGCTGCTGCGAACGCTGCTGCTGCTGCTAACGCTGTTGCTGTTGTTGCTGCTGCTGCTGTTTTGCTTCGGTTGCTTCACAGGCTACGCCACTGAACTGGAGAGGATCGTCTGATGCTTCACCTGTTAGCAGCAGCAGCAACAGCAACAGCGGCAGCAGCAGCCGCTGCTGCAGTGGTAGCAGCAGCAGCAGAGGTAGCTCGTGTGTTTGTTGAGATGCTGCATTTATCCTTTGCATGCATTTGCGCTTATTTGAGGGCTTGGGGTGTATATGCGGATAAAAGCCCCGCGGCTGCTGCTGCTGCTGCTGCATGCACCAGCGTGCGATTGAAAGTCCTGCATGCAGCAGCAGCAGTAGCGATAGGTTGGGGTGTATAACCTGAGAAAAGCTCCATAGCTGCTTCTGCATGCAGCAGCATACACTTGAAGCTGCTGCTGCATGCAGCAGCAGCAGCAGCAGCTTCGTTGGATGCATTTTAAACTGATGCTGCTGCTGCTGCTGGTGCATGCAACAGCAGCAGCAGCAGCAGCAACATCAGAATGCATGCAGCGGCTTCGGCGTGGGGCTGGATATACACCCGAAGAGCTGCCTGTACACCGCAGCTCAGCAACTGTCTCTTTTTGAAGAAGAGACAGCAAATAAAAGAAGAGAGAGACAAACAAATGCAGACAATCCTAAACAAAAGAAGATAATAAATAATAAATAATATAGTAATATAATAAATAATTATATAACAATTTATGTAAATAATATAATAAATGACAAACCAATAGCTAAAGATCTAGTAATTAATAATATACAGAACAATAATATATAGAATAATAATATATAATAATATAATAAATAATAATATAATTAATAATATAATTAACAATATAATTAATAATATAATAAATAATATAATATAAATAATAATATAATTAATAATATAATTAACAATATAATTAATAATATAATTAATAATATAGTAAATAATAAGATAAATAATAATAAATAATTATATAGTAAATAATACTCTGATAAATAATAATATAATAAATAATAATGCGGTGTATAATAATATTATAATTAGAGTAGTTTTCTAGTAAATAATAATATAATAAACAACAGTAAAATAAATAATAAAAGAATAAATAATAATATAATTATTAATAAAATAATATATAGTCTTATTATCCGGAATAATAATATAACAAATTATAATATATAATAAATAATAAAACAACAAACAACCCTCTAAGAAATAATATTCTAAGGACAAGACCAGTGGTCTCCCCATTGGTGTCGCTGCTGCAGCAGCAGCAAACAAACACAAGTGCAAATGTCCCTCTGGTGTGAACTTGAAAGTAGCAGCAGCAGAAAATGCAGCAACAGCAGCTGCAGCAGAGGCAGCCGCTGCAGCAGCTTTTGCTGCAGCAGCAGCAAACCACGTAACTGCAGTAGCAGATAAGTGCAGCTGCAGCAGCAACGGAAGCGGCGGCAGCAGCGAAAAATGCAGATACAGCAGCAACAAAGTGCGGCTGCAGTAGCAACATTTGCAGCTGCAGCAATAACAAATGAGGCAGCAGCAGCAGCAACAGCGGCTGGAGCAGCAGCAAAAGCTGCTGCAGCAGCGCAAAGAACTGCTGCTCCTCAGCAGCTAGACATAAGAAAGACTTCCGTTTGCTGTTGCTGTCAGCAGCAGCAGACGGGTGTCGTGCAAGCCTATGCTGCAGTTGCAACAGCAGCAGCAGATGCTGCTGCTGCTGCTGCTGCTGATCTGCATGGGCCCCTGAGGAAAGAACTTTGCATGCGGATTGCAGCAGCAAGTGCTGCTGCCTCGCTGTGTCCTCTGGAGTGTCTATACACCTCAGCCGCTCTTAGAAAACCCCACAATCTCAGTTAGCGCCCCCCCTTAGGGGCCCTCAAGCAAGTCCCTGCTGCTGCTGCTGCTGCTGCTGCAGATGAAGTTGCTGCTGGCGATGCAGCAGATGCAGCAGGAACACCTCCTGCTGCTCCTGCAGCAGCAGCAGCAACTCGTGCTGCTTCTAAGCAGCCATTTGACTTGGGTGTCTGTACACTGCGACTACGGAAAAAAGCAGCACGGCGTCGGGGCTGCTGCTGCTGCTGCTGCTG